GGAATATGATCAAAGCAGTGTTAAAACCGACTCACTCGCTCAGTCACTCACTCACTCTAACACACAAATAGACGAGAATATACATCACAAAGTCTAGCATAACTGTCAGATGTTTTTATTTATTCTTTGAGGCCATGATGATACACGAATCACAATCAATACAATAGGTTATCGACTACACAGTGGATTCCCAGCATCCAGAATGTCATGTGACCATGTACTTTGGATATCAATCCCCTTACACGTCTCGGCAGCTTCACCCGTGGTGGCCATGGCCTCCGTGACCGTGACCTCCGTGGCCATGACCTCCGTGACCATGTCCTCCATGACCGTGACCACCATGTCCATGACCATGGCCTCCATGTCCGTGACCACCATGTCCATGACCACCGTGTCCGTGACCACCATGACCGTGACCACTAGCCAAACCCAAAACGGCTGCCAGAGCTGGATAAAAAAGCAAAACACACACACCTATTTACGCACGATTCTACTTGTTATATTAAAGCAGAGAAGGATCTTTCTTGGAAACAGAAGTAAACACTTTCTTATGAGATATGTATAACACTGTAAAGCTCTCGACATGGCTGATTTTGGTGTTACAACATTCTCAAATCACACGCATTCACGTCCAGTTTATACAACTGCATGGAACATTGAATTGCCCTCCTTTTAATTCGGACAGATGAGACCATTAAATCTTTAATGCATGATAACGGTATGAAGATACTAACCAAGGCCAAGAAGTGCGGCGAAGTTAGAGAACTGCATATTGTCTTGTAATGTCCTTCTGTGGTTAGTGAAAGGAAAAAAACTGATAGCTACCACTTGTTTCGAACTTATATACCCAGCGATCGCGGAAATCGTAGAAAAATTATATCATAATGATATTATTGCATAAACCTGCTTTGTAACGCTTGTGGTGATGTCACAGTGGTTTTAGCTACCCACCAAGCACACCGCAGAGCTCTAAGGAAGCCTATTATTATCCCGCAATCGGTGCATATGGTGATTTGCTGTCGATTAAATGTTTTCGTTTAAAACAAAGTTCAACCCATTTATCAAATATTTTAGACTGATCTCCACTATACTCTCTTACCTTTGCTGGTACAAGAAGATTTTAATTGTCTCTGTCACACGTATTCCATAAGATTTATTCACCTAATAAGCACAAAATACACAAAATAACTTCAACTAAGTAGACAACACCTAAAAACTGGAGCATATCTGTAACAGCCCATGCCGAGATCATGGCGGGAGATGAATGCAAAAGTTTAAACGCTTCAGAAAAAAGTAAAATAGCAAAAAGTGCAGTTGATGTGACAATTAATCATCTGCTTAATTATTCTGATTTTTAAAGGTGCGCCGCATCCCCATGTATGCACAGAACATGCTGTTACAGCTTTATAAAAGAGAGCGTGCACAGAGTTACTTTACATTTTCTGAGGTTTGCATTCATCAGAAACATCCAATATGCATGTTCTTAAAGTCGCAGTGCTCCTTGTAGCAGGTAAGCAGACCCCCGGGTACCCAGGTGTAAATGTAAACTAGTTAGCTTGTCTTATCGCTTGCCTAACAGTCTACATCATATGTGAGAACTGTCTTTTGACAGTCACTTTCAACATTTTATTCAGGTAATACGAACATGCTGACGTGCTAAAATGTTTGGAACTTTTGTGAACTGTACATATAATGAGCTTTTTTCTCTTCCTGGCAGTTCTTGCTGCAGTGTTCGGAACAAGCATGGCCAAGGGTCACGGTCATGGAGGTGGAAAGGGTCATGGTGGTGGCCATGGGGGTAAAGGACATGGAGGACATGGTGGCGGACACGGGGGCAAGGGCCACGGAGGCCATGGCGGTGGACATGGGGGCAAAGGGCATGGAGGCGGCCATGGAGGAAAGGGGCTCCATGGATAAACCATGTAGATGGTAGGTACACGGTCACTTTGTTTTCCGACGAGCTAATCACGCGTTACGGAATGTACTCTTTCTCCACAAATAGTCATTTTTATGAATAAAAAGAGGTTCTCCGCCACTGTCAGTAGGAGTACCAAGCCTGATAACTTTTGCCATTTCTTCATTTCAGAAAGGCGTGTGACAATGCAGCTTCTACATGTCATTCCACTGCTGCTGGACAACGGGGAAACAACTCAGAGAAAACATGATGATATTGTATTTTGTTTGATAAGACCTCCGAATAAAAATACACCCCGAGGTGTTGAATCTAACAAGACTTCATTTCTCTTGTATTTTCACCTGAGGATCACTAGCTTAATCCGATTTTGCATTGACCGCCAATGCCTTTAAGTGAGTGCAATTTGGCGTGAGACATTAATCAGGATTGCAGCTTTATCATCGCTGCTGACACATCTCTCTCACTCCATCTATCTATCCCTCTGTATCTATGTGTCTTCTCTCTCTCTCTCTCTCTCTCTCTCTCTCTCTCTCTCTCTCTCTCTCTCTCTCTCTCTCTCTCTCTCAGGAAACGTAACAACAAAACAACTTCAGTCGCATACGTGTCTCAGTTTATTATCCCAGTTAAATAAATGTATATCGACAATGTGCTCAGATGAGATTAAAACAATATGATGAAATTTCTTGGCTACGTTTCTGGGCTAGGGTTCAGTGACCTTGTGTTGCATAGGCGATAAATCACACACATATCACACACCCGACGCATATACGAGTAGACAGTAATTGGGACTTGTCATGAGACACTCCTTTAGCTGATTAAACTGATTACAACTTCTAACCTAGCATGCTCTGTAGCTGCAGTTAAACATGTTAGCCAACTCGAGCCTTGCTTTTTGGGGGGAGTGGTTTTCATACCGTGTATCAAAGAAGGATGTATCGTATCGCCAGATCACAGGCTATACGCTCTTGCTGTGACACTAAATACTGATTCTGTAACTTGGGTAGTTCATGTACATTCACTAAGTATTATTGTATTTTTACCATGCTCTATTGCTGTAATCATTCTAGTATGCAAAGGTCGTGGTATAACTGGAATATGATCAAAGCAGTGTTAAAACCGACTCACTCGCTCAGTCACTCACTCACTCTAACACACAAATAGACGAGAATATATATCACAAAGTCTAGCATAACTGTCAGATGTTTTTATTTATTCTTTGAGGCCATGATGATACACGAATCACAATCAATACAATAGGTTATCGACTACACAGTGGATTCCCAGCATCCAGAATGTCATGTGACCATGTACTTTGGATATCAATCCCCTTACACGTCTCGGCAGCTTCACCCGTGGTGGCCATGGCCTCCGTGACCGTGACCTCCGTGGCCATGACCTCCGTGACCATGTCCTCCATGACCGTGACCACCATGTCCATGACCATGGCCTCCATGTCCGTGACCACCATGTCCATGACCACCGTGTCCGTGACCACCATGACCGTGACCACTAGCCAAACCCAAAACGGCTGCCAGAGCTGGATAAAAAGCAAAAAACACACACCTATTTACGCACGATTCTACTTGTTATATTAAAGCAGAGAAGGATCTTTCTTGGAAACAGAAGTAAACACTTTCTTATGAGATATGTATAACACTGTAAAGCTCTCGACATGGCTGATTTTGGTGTTACAACATTCTCAAATCACACGCATTCACGTCCAGTTTATACAACTGCATGGAACATTGAATTGCCCTCCTTTTAATTCGGACAGATGAGACCATTAAAATCTTTAATGCATGATAACGGTATGAAGATACTAACCAAGGCCAAGAAGTGCGGCGAAGTTAGAGAACTGCCACAGCAAAAATAACTTCGTTTCCATTTTTGCGGAAACCTAATGGATACTGGGTAATGTACGTTTCCGCCAGGTTTCAGCATCCGGAAACAGACAATGTGAGTTTCCGCGTAGTTTACAAAACTGAAACTAACAAATCTAGGTTTCCGTCTGATTTCTACAACTGAAACTGTCATTATGAGTTTCCATTTAGTTTCAGGTCGCTGAAAGATTCATAGCAAAATGACTTAGTTTCCGTTGTTGCGGAAACCTATTGGATACTGGGTAATGTAGGTTTCAGCTAGGTTTCTGTACCCGGAAACTAACAATTCTGTTGATTTCAGCTTAGATGAAATGGCAAACTTAGCTTTGTGTTGTTCCATTGGGGGCTATATTAATTTACTGTTACACTTGTAAAATAATTTCTATATACAGTATCCAGCTTGGGTCCATGCAGGGAGGAAAAGCAATAGCCCATTTTTATACTGTACTGTTAAAGTGTTTATGGTTATATGTTTTTAGTGTACATTTGTGATAGACTAGTTATTTTACTGTATTTCGAAGACAGGTAAAAAAAAATTATATAATGCACACATTTAAATTTCCAAGGTTAGTTTCAGCGACTGGAAACTACCGGAAACCAACAAAGTTAGTTTCCAGAAACGGAAATTTAAAGTAAAGTATCATTGGTAGTTTCCATTGCATAAAGCAGCTGGAAACCATCATTGATGGGACCGTCAATGAAACGAACGAACGAAATTACTCCATATATACCAGTATATACAGCATATAACCGACATTAACCTACGCTAAACTGTCTATGTATTCCATGTATATAAGTTTCAGTTTAGTGATCTCAGTGTTTTTGTACACCAGAATTCAAATAAAAGATACTGTCACATGAAAGAAGAATAATTTCAGGAAAAGTTAAACCATATTACGGAAACTTAAGATTCTACTTTGTCTCCTTAACGATTTGTTAGGTACACTCACAGATGCCTTAAACTTTTAAATTACTGAAGAACCGGTAAGGCTCCATTAGGTTTCAGTTACCCATTGGCTTTTCATTTGTTTTTCTCAAAGTGATACATACTAACACAACTAACTGGGAGTGGTTATGCACATTACACATATCTGTACTAAAAAGGACAATAATTTCGTAAATGTCCAATAAAGAACATAATACAGGCTTCAACAAATTACACAGTAGACTTATAGATATAAAATATGTTTAAGTTTAACGTCATCTGCCAGTGGTGAAAAATATTGGGATTGAAAGAAAATGAAGTCAATGAACGTTTTGCCTTTAAATTATAGCATTATCATTATTGATCCATTATCATATTTATAAGCACTTTGGAACCTCATAAATTTATTAAATGGCTTTCTAGATATGTCATAGAGTACCTAAAATATAAGGGAATCAGTTTACGACCTGAAAAAACTAAGAGATCTTGTTGGGTACGCCCTGGATTGTCAGAAGAGGAGAGGTGGGGGCTTATAACTCACATGAACAATGTTGTTTGTGGAATAATTTTGTTGAATGCTACAAGAAAAATGAAAACAAAATACAGATATCAAACTTAAAACCAACTAACGTTATAACAAAACTAATGGGCTATTACCTTGTTCGAGAAAAGTATCCATCAGTATCCACATAATGGAACGATATGCCATTCATCGGCAGCTGCCCCAAAAACTGTTCCATGTCACGTGACCGGGTTTCACTGGACACCAAAGATAATACACCTGACAAGTTTTTACATAATGTCACAATTCTTTAAAAACGGTGCATGTTGTTTTAAGGGATTAGCTTTCTGAAATACCTAGCGAAATAGGTGACACGAACTCACCCCTTGTTCACTTACATGATGAAAATCAATGAAATTGAACTCACTTAGCTTGTTTTGATTGATATGAGTAAGCACCAACTCATCAATTTTGGTACATAATTTGCTGGCCATACTGGTCATCACTTTTATTATGGCAAAACAGCAGTTACATGTGTAAAGTAAAAAGTTCATTCCGACTTCACGAGGCTGTATGTATGGATGGTACATCTTGGATGTCCTGGGTATGTTGTAGAGTCTCAGCTGTCTCCACTGTCGATGATATAGTCACCAAACATCCTGACATACGTAACCACGAACGTGTCAACAATGATATAAAGGTATAATTTATAAATATCCGCTGTGACAATGAATACAACATGTAAGATAAATATATTTTACAATACCACTGATGATTTGTCAACAGGAAGAATAAATGTACTTGTGTTCGCAGAAACAGTTTCATACTTAATGAAACTGCAGTGTAGACTGGATGTGTACTATGTACATGTATTATGAAATTGTTTTATCATTATGATGATTAAAATAATTTGTCTCAAGATGTCATTTTAATGGATTTTATTGTTGTTGCCATGTCATGAATATGTAAAATATTATCTAACATCTGGTATTTTCTACGGATATCACTTCGTTGTACAATTTATTTTGTTTTCAACTTGGGAATTTAGTGTTACCTGCATGCCTATCATCACAGATTATGTCCATTGTTCTCCAAGTGCGGTCAACCTGAAAATCCCTGTGTGTCGCCCTTATTGTTGTTACAAACATCACAAATACTAAACCTTTTCAGTATACGTTAGTAACTCTACAAACATAAAGACTATCTTTTGACGGGCCCTTTTGACAAAGACGTCGTGCAAGATAAAAGTAATAAATCAATTAGCGTGTTATCGGTTAATCCTTTCATCTGTGTTTGTTTTTTTAACTCAGCTGATAATTCCTTTTGCTGCTCCTGCATGCATATATTACATAACATGTAGTTCACTAGATGACCATCAAGTGAATGATGACAAATAAACGGGTACAATCGTTGTATTGCATGCAATATTAATTGCCTACAGAATCTTAGGGAACTACGCTGTGTGGTTTTAAAATAATAGGTCATCAACCATCACATTGTTCTTGATATGATTAAATATCAGGTAATAGTTTTAAAGAAATACACAGAAATAGGATCAAATTGGATCGGTCATATACGATCAACGCATCGGAAAATCTGAAAAAAAGCTTATACTGGCTGCTGGAGTACTTTATTACGGGAAATACATCCACTGTTCTTATTGTTTCATTCTTTAGGTTGAGGAAATTCTGCCATGGTTGACAGCTGCCCAGTCCCTGGGTCCGTCACGGTCGAGGTAGCATGTGCTGCAGTAAGACCACATACTAAAATTGTTGTCCCGAAACCGGAAGCGCTTGATTTGGAATGAATGAGGCGTCGCGAGATGTGACGGACATTGTAAAAACAAACAATTTACATAAACACATATTGCAGTTATCAGTGTTTTTCCAAGCTTATGAAGGGTAAGCAGACTATTGGCATGTTAACAATAGAAATGAAAAAGCAACCTAATTGACTACCCATAAGTCTTTGTTTGAAATGCCGCCATCTTTGTTCAAACGTACACGCGCGAGATTGGAAAAACTTCGTTGTTGTTTCCAAGTAAGTCTATGAGAGTAAGGTAGTAGAAATGGCAGTCTGTATACTTGCTATAGTTTTCTTGACACATGGCAACAAACTTGACAATCGAAGCTTTGGAAACAAGGATCCGGGAACTCAAGCGATCTCAACGGAAACCCAAGACAGAGAAATTGGCAGGTAGGTTTCAGATAAAATTAATTATTTTCTTCTTATCATAGCAGTCAGTTTGCATCGAATTAAACTTTTTCGGTAGGACCCGGAACCTTTATCGTACATTAACTGTGCGCTCGCATTTCGATTTCTCCCACGGTTATAAATGTGAACATTGCATTTTGGTGTGAAATTTGTTAAAAAACAACATTATTGGTGATACCAACTGAACATTCCGTTAAAATATAACCATAAGACAAGTATACCCCTGTGTTCCTGTACGTTGAGTCTGATGTTTATATAATTTTGATTTCCTGCGGCAGCTCATTTTGTTGCTGGGCACAACCAACACCATAACCAAATATTTATTCTTCAGTCATTTTTCTGAGTGTAATTTTGTCTCAGTATTATTCTTTTCTTGTCGGACTATTTCAATTATGTATCCAGCTATATTGGAACCGTGTACTGGAGCGGCGTTTATATAAGACACTTGGCTTGTTCACCTTTCTAGGTTATTGATGGAATAAAAATATATTTTAAGAAATTGTTATACATGTATCCAGCAAGGCAACAAATATAGATGAAACCAGTAGTTCATGATATTCCGGTGGAAAATATTACTAATCGACATATGTTCATGATCCAAATGTGTGTCTCTTTTGTTTTAGGCTATTGTGAGAAGAATCATGGAAAAGTTCCCGGAGTACCTTGAAAATCGATTAAAAGTTACTTATTTAAGGTAAAAACTTACCCCAAGTTTTATTATTGCTCGTCATCATAATCAAGATATATGTTGGGTTTTATAAGATTAGAGACGTCAGTATTACAAAAAACAATTAATTCGTTTCTTGTTCACCATTGGGTAAATCTAGCATCTAATTATTTCATTGTCAGGTATCTAGTACTAGCAGTAGAATTGACATAGCATACTATTATGTAGTGCATATTTGCTGCATAATCATGTCTGTCATGTTAATAGAAAACTTCTCACGCCCGGGCTGTAATGCATATACATGTAGTTGATATACCACAATTACTTATTACTTGGTTTGATACATGATAATAATCAAACGTATGAATGTTTGTGTCGGATTGTAATAATCTATTATTGGACGAATGAAAATTAATTCATTTGCTTTTCTTAATAGAAACCTTTTGGATAATCTGGAGGAGCAAGACGGACGATCGACGTCGGCAGATAACAGGAAAGAAAAACACAGGAAAGATGCTAAAAGAAACAAAAGAATCTGATCTGTTAGTTCCTGAAACTGGATAATATAATATAATTTGTACCGGTTTATACACTTCCTGACACCAGTTTAAAACACTCTGAGTCACTGACATGATGTGCTACATATTATCACATCGCTATATACCTGTAATAGAATAACTTTCCTTATCACATGTCATTACCCATCACCGTAATGTGCCATTATCTAATTAGAACAAGTGCCGCACTCAAGAATAAATGTTGGACATAACTTTCGCAGTGCAAGAATTTCATTTTTTCCCCAGAAACTCCAACACCTCCTGAAGAATCTAGCTGGGCAGAGAAAAGAACACAGAAGGTGGCTGCAGTCCTAACCCTAGAATTGACATCGCCAGTGGTGTCTGAAGCTCCAGCGGCAAAATAAAGAACTTGCGACACCATCCAACAAGATTCTTTCCAACCACCTAAAGGTCTTAGGAATAGGATGGAATGTCTAAATGTACATTCAATTATCTCCTGTAGTCACCCTGTTTAGGACAAGAACATCTGTCTCTCTCTCTCTGTCCCTCTGTGTGCTTTGTGTCAATGTTTAATTGTAACATTGAAACATAGATATGATATATATGTTTATGATGAATAAAGAGAAATCGACTGACATGCCTGATTTTGTATTTATTTATTTCTATGTCCATGTGGTGTTGAGGTAACTGTAGTTGAAATGAGTTTATTTTATATTTCAATGTATCATGAATAAAATATATGACCTAATACATTCAAATATATAATACACTCATTTCACCTACAGTTAATTTAGTTGAATAATCATAATTTAATATGGACATATGGTAATCACTGAATACTAATGATTGAAACCAAATGGAGCCATACAGATTCTGATTACTCCTTATGGAACATGGTGAAACTTAACAGATGAGACCAATACAATGTATATGAAACCATCTAAAAGTAGAGGATAAGGGAAACCCAATGGAACCTCATAGGAATCTGCGTAACGGAACGCACTGGAACCATACAGGAATCTGGGTTACGGAAACGCACTGGAGCCCTACAGGAAAAAGGGTAACGGAAAGGCACTGGAGCCTTACTGGAAAGTGGGTAACGGAAACGCACTGGAGCCCTTACTGGAAACTGGGTAACGGAAACGCACTGGAGCCATGCCGGTTTTGTCTTGTAATGTCCGTTTTCCGGAAACTGAAGGAAATTAGAGAAACGTTGAAAGTTGAAAAAGTTTCCATTTTGTTTCCGTTAGGTTTCCGGGGTCCGGAAACCAATAGCTGCATATTGTCTTGTAATGTCCTTCTTGAAAAACTGATAGAACCAGTTGTTTATATACCCAGCGATCGCGGAAATCGTAGAAAAATTATATCATAATGATATTATTGCATAAACCTGCTTTGTAACGCTTGTGGTGATGTCACAGTGGTTTTAGCTACCCACCAAGCACACCGCAGAGCTCTAAGGAAGCCTATTATTATCCCGCAATCGGTGCATGTGGTGATTTGCTGTCGATTAAATGTTTTCGTTTAAAACAAAGTTCAACCCATTTATCAAATATTTTAGACTGATCTCCACTATACTCTCTTACCTTTGCTGGTACAAGAAGATTTTAATTGTCTCTGTCACACGTATTCCATAAGATTTACTCACCTAATAAGCACAAAATACACAAAGTAACTTCAACTAAGTAGACAACACCTAAAAACTGGAGCATATCTGTAACAGCCCATGCCGAGATCATGGCGGGAGATGAATGCAAAAGTTTAAAGGCTTCAGAAAAAAGTAAAATAGCAAAAAGTGCAGTTGATGTGACAATTAATCATCTGCTTAATTATTCTGATTTTTAAAGGTGCGCCGCATCCCCATGTATGCACAGAACATGCTGTTACAGCTTTATAAAAGAGAGCGTGCACAGAGTTACTTTACATTTTCTGAGGTTTGCATTCATCAGAAACATCCAATATGCATGTTCTTAAAGTCGCAGTGCTCCTTGTAGCAGGTAAGCAGACCCCCGGGTACCCAGGTGTAAATGTAAACTAGTTAGCTTGTCTTATCGCTTGCCTAACAGTCTACATCATATGTGAGAACTGTCTTTTGACAGTCACTTTCAACATTTTATTCAGGTAATACGAACGTGCTGACGTGCTAAAATGTTTGGAACTTTTGTGAACTGTACATATAATGAGCTTTTTTCTCTTCCTGGCAGTTCTTGCTGCAGTGTTCGGAACAAGCATGGCCAAGGGTCATGGTGGTGGTCACGGTCATGGAGGTGGAAAGGGTCATGGTGGTGGCCATGGGGGTAAAGGACATGGAGGACATGGTGGCGGACACGGGGGCAAGGGCCACGGAGGCCATGGCGGTGGACATGGGGGCAAAGGGCATGGAGGCGGCCATGGAGGAAAGGGGCACCATGGATAAACCATGTAGATGGTAGGTACACGGTCACTTTGTTTTCCGACGAGCTAATCACGCGTTACGAATGTACTCTTTCTCCAGAAATAGTCATTTTATGAATAAAAAGAGGTTCTCCGCCACTGTCAGTAGGAGTACCAAGCCTGATAACTTTTGCCATTTCTTCATTTCAGAAAGGCGTGTGACAATGCAGCTTCTACATGTCATTCCACTGCTGCTGGACAACGGGGAAACAACTCAGAGAAAACATGATGATATTGTATTTTGTTTGATAAGACCTCCGAATAAAAATACACCCCGAGGTGTTGAATCTAACAAGACTTCATTTCTCTTGTATTTTCACCTGAGGATCACTAGCTTAATCCGATTTTGCATTGACCGCCAATGCCTTTAAGTGAGTGCAATTTGGCGTAAGACATTAATCAGGATTGCAGCTTTATCATCGCTGCTGACACATCTCTCTCACTCCATCTATCTATACCCGCCGTGATGTTGCTGGAATATTGCTAAAAGCGGCGTCAAACCAAAACTCAGTCAATCAGTCAGCCATCTATCTATCCCTCTGTATCTATGTGTCTTCTCTCTCTCTCTCTCTCTCTCTCTCTCTCTCTCTCTCTCTCTCTCTCTCTCTCTCTCTCTCTCTCTCTCTCTCTCTCTCTCTCTCTCTCTCTCTCTCTCTCTCTCTCTCTCTCTCTCAGGAAACGTAACAACAAAACAACTTCAGTCGCATACGTGTCTCAGTTTATTATCCCAGTTAAATAAATGTATATCGACAATGTGCTCAGATGAGATTAAAACAATATGATGAAATTTCTTGGCTACGTTTCTGGGCTAGGGTTCAGTGACCTTGTGTTGCATAGGCGATAAATCACACACATATGACACACCCGACGCATATACGAGTAGACAGTAATTGGGACTTGTCATGAGACACTCCTTTAGCTGATTAAACTGATTACAACTTCTAACCTAGCATGCTCTGTAGCTGCAGTTAAACATGTTAGCCAACTCGAGCCTTGCTTTTTGGGGAGTGGTTTTCATACCGTGTATCAAACAAGGATGTATCGTATCGCCAGATCACAGGCTATACGCTCTTGCTGTGACACTAAATACTGATTCTGTAACTTGGGTAGTTCATGTACATTCACTAAGTATTATTGTATTTTTACCATGCTCTATTGCTGTAATCATTCTAGTATGCAAAGGTCGTGGTATAACTGGAATATGATCAAAGCAGTGTTAAAACCGACTCACTCGCTCAGTCACTCACTCACTCTAACACACAAATAGACGAGAATATACATCACAAAGTCTAGCATAACTGTCAGATGGTTTTATTTATTCTTTGAGGCCATGATGATACACGAATCACAATCAATACAATAGGTTATCGACTACACAGTGGATTCCCAGCATCCAGAATGTCATGTGACCATGTACTTTGGATATCAATCCCCTTACACGTCTCGGCAGCTTCACCCGTGGTGGCCATGGCCTCCGTGACCGTGACCTCCGTGGCCATGACCTCCGTGACCATGTCCTCCATGACCGTGACCACCATGTCCATGACCATGGCCTCCATGTCCGTGACCACCATGTCCATGACCACCGTGTCCGTGACCACCATGACCGTGACCACTAGCCAAACCCAAAACGGCTGCCAGAGCTGGATAAAAAGCAAAAACACACACCTATTTACGCACGATTATACTTGTTATATTAAAGCAGAGAAGGATCTTTCTTGGAAACAGAAGTAAACACTTTCTTATGAGATATGTATAACACTGTAAAGCTCTCGACATGGCTGATTTTGGTGTTACAACATTCTCAAATCACACGCATTCACGTCCAGTTTATACAACTGCATGGAACATTGAATTGCCCTCCTTTTAATTCGGACAGATGAGACCATTAAAATCTTTAATGCATGATAACGGTATGAAGATACTAACCAAGGCCAAGAAGTGCGGCGAAGTTAGAGAACTGCATATTGTCTTGTAATGTCCTTCTGTGGTTAGTGAAAGGAAAAAACTGATAGCTACCACTTGTTTCGAACTTATATACCCAGCGATCGCGGAAATCGTAGAAAAATTATATCATAATGATATTATTGCATAAACCTGCTTTGTAACGCTTGTGGTGATGTCACAGTGGTTTTAGCTACCCACCAAGCACACCGCAGAGCTCTAAGGAAGCCTATTATTATCCCGCAATCGGTGCATGTGGTGATTTGCTGTCGATGAAATGTTTTCGTTTAAAACAAAGTTCAACCCATTTATCAAATATTTTAGACTGATCTCCACTATACTCTCTTACCTTTGCTGGTACAAGAAGATTTTAATTGTCTCTGTCACACGTATTCCATAAGATTTACTCACCTAATAAGCACAAAATACACAAAGTAACTTCAACTAAGTAGACAACACCTAAAAACTGGAGCATATCTGTAACAGCCCATGCCGAGATCATGGCGGGAGATGAATGCAAAAGTTTAAAGGCTTCAGAAAAAAGTAAAATAGCAAAAAGTGCAGTTGATGTGACAATTAATCATCTGCTTAATTATTCTGATTTTTAAAGGTGCGCCGCATCCCCATGTATGCACAGAACATGCTGTTACAGCTTTATAAAAGAGAGCGTGCACAGAGTTACTTTACATTTTCTGAGGTTTGCATTCATCAGAAACATCCAATATGCATGTTCTTAAAGTCGCAGTGCTCCTTGTAGCAGGTAAGCAGACCCCCGGGTACCCAGGTGTAAATGTAAACTAGTTAGCTTGTCTTATCGCTTGCCTAACAGTCTACATCATATGTGAGAACTGTCTTTTGACAGTCACTTTCAACATTTTATTCAGGTAATACGAACGTGCTGACGTGCTAAAATGTTTGGAACTTTTGTGAACTGTACATATAATGAGCTTTTTTCTCTTCCTGGCAGTTCTTGCTGCAGTGTTCGGAACAAGCATGGCCAAGGGTCATGGTGGTGGTCACGGTCATGGAGGTGGAAAGGGTCATGGTGGTGGCCATGGGGGTAAAGGACATGGAGGACATGGTGGCGGACACGGGGGCAAGGGCCACGGAGGCCATGGCGGTGGACATGGGGGCAAAGGGCATGGAGGCGGCCATGGAGGAAAGGGGCACCATGGATAAACCATGTAGATGGTAGGTACACGGTCACTTTGTTTTCCGACGAGCTAATCACGCGTTACGAATGTACTCTTTCTCCAGAAATAGTCATTTTTATGAACAAAAAGAGGTTCTCCGCCACTGTCAGTAGGAGTACCAAGCCTGATAACTTTTGCCATTTCTTCATTTCAGAAAGGCGTGTGACAATGCAGCTTCTACATGTCATTCCACTGCTGCTGGACAACGGGGAAACAACTCAGAGAAAACATGATGATATTGTATTTTGTTTGATAAGACCTCCGAATAAAAATACACCCCGAGGTGTTGAATCTAACAAGACTTCATTTCTCTTGTATTTTCACCTGAGGATCACTAGCTTAATCCGATTTTGCATTGACCGCCAATGCCTTTAAGTGAGTGCAATTTGGCGTAAGACATTAATCAGGATTGCAGCTTTATCATCGCTGCTGACACATCTCTCTCACTCCATCTATCTATACCCGCCGTGATGTTGCTGGAATATTGCTAAAAGCGGCGTCAAACCAAAACTCAGTCAATCAGTCAGCCATCTATCTATCTGTATCTATGTGTGTCTTCTCTCTCTCTCTCTCTCTCTCTCTCTCTCTCTCTCTCTCTCTCTCTCTCTCTCTCTCTCTCTCTCTCTCTCTCTCTCTCTCTCTCTCAGGAAACGTAACAACAAAACAACTTCAGTCGCATACGTGTCTCAGTTTATTATCCCAGTTAAATAAATGTATATCGACAATGTGCTCAGATGAGATTAAAACAATATGATGAAATTTCTTGGCTACGTTTCTGGGCTAGGGTTCAGTGACCTTGTGTTGCATAGGCGATAAATCACACACATATGACACACCCGACGCATATACGAGTAGACAGTAATTGGGACTTGTCATGAGACACTCCTTTAGCTGATTAAACTGATTACAACTTCTAACCTAGCATGCTCTGTAGCTGCAGTTAAACATGTTAGCCAACTCGAGCCTTGCTTTTTGGGGGGAGTGGTTTTCATACCGTGTATCAAACAAGGATGTATCGTATCGCCAGATCACAGGCTATACGCTCTTGCTGTGACACTAAATACTGATTCTGTAACTTGGGTAGTTCATGTACATTCACTAAGTATTATTGTATTTTTACCATGCTCTATTGCTGTAATCATTCTAGTATGCAAAGGTCGTGGTATAACTGGAATATGATCAAAGCAGTGTTAAAACCGACTCACTCGCTCAGTCACTCACTCACTCTAACACACAAATAGACGAGAATATACATCACAAAGTCTAGCATAACTGTCAGATGTTTTTATTTATTCTTTGAGGCCATGATGATACACGAATCACAATCAATACAATAGGTTATCGACTACACAGTGGATTCCCAGCATCCAGAATGTCATGTGACCATGTACTTTGGATATCAATCCCCTTACACGTCTCGGCAGCTTCACCCGTGGTGGCCATGGCCTCCGTGACCGTGACCTCCGTGGCCATGACCTCCGTGACCATGTCCTCCATGACCGTGACCACCATGTCCATGACCATGGCCTCCATGTCCGTGACCACCATGTCCATGACCACCGTGTCCGTGACCACCATGACCGTGACCACTAGCCAAACCCAAAACGGCTGCCAGAGCTGGATAAAAAGCAAAAAACACACACCTATTTACGCACGATTCTACTTGTTATATTAAAGCAGAGAAGGATCTTTCTTGGAAACAGAAGTAAACACTTTCTTATGAGATATGTATAACACTGTAAAGCTCTGGACATGGCTGATTTTGGTGTTACAACATTCTCAAATCACACGCATTCACGTCCAGTTTATACAACTGCATGGAACATTGAATTGCCCTCCTTTTAATTCGGACAGATGAGACCATTAAAATCTTTAATGCATGATAACGGTATGAAGATACTAACCAAGGCCAAGAAGTGCGGCGAAGTTAGAGAACTGCATATTGTCTTGTAATGTCCTTCTGTGGTTAGTGAAAGGAAAAAACTGATAGCTACCAGTTGTTTCGAACTTATATACCCAGCGATCGCGGAAATCGTAGAAAAATTATATCATAATGATATTATTGCATAAACCTGCTTTGTAACGCTTGTGGTGATGTCACAGTGGTTTTAGCTACCCACCAAGCACACCGCAGAGCTCTAAGGAAGCCTATTATTATCC